TGCTTATACTGAGCTGATATACAAACTCCCCTCTCCCCCACAAGGGTAGAGATTGGCCACAACCATGGCTCGACGAGTCTTCCTTTCACCAACCTGTGCGGATCAAGTACAAGACTACCACTGACTCTGTGCAGTACATGCAGTGCAGTACCATCACACACTCTTTGTGACTTCAGTTTTAGTACTGAAGTACTAGTTACATCGGAAGAAACAGCTATGCGCCAAGTAAGTTAGTTTGAACCTCACAGTGCTAGTGACCGTTACCGCGCGCAGATCTCACCGCGGGCTCTGTAAAAGAACCGTTTGCTCATTAGAGACATAGAGTTCGTCTCCTTTCCAAAGTAAGAGTAAAATGAATCAGCACGAGGCTGTTGAATCGACTCCCAAACGTTTCTTTAGTTCTTCTGAGGACGACCACGAATCACGATGCCATTATTCAAGCAGCAGTTTCCAAGAACACTGGCAGTGCCACGGATTATGGCTGTGCATGTTCCGTCCGCTCTGCGAGGGACGCGGAAAGGAGAACATCGATTGGAAAACCATCAGTAGTGAAGTTCCGTCGCCCCTGCTATCTTCATTCTATGTCGATGCAAAAACGCAGGAGCGGCACGCGGGGCTCTTCAGCCGCACATGTCGAGTGCTGCGCTTGACAGACGGAGTGCTGAAACAGCGAAAGAAGGACAGCCTCGAACGTCAGGTGCAGCACAAGGCACCAGTTACAAAGGACGACGTTGTATTCTTCATCGTTGACGGGAAAGAGATCCTGAAGTTGGGACCGTCGTGCATGTCGAAAAACCATCAAGGCGGACTGCAGGTCACTAGTGTGATCCTAAAAAAAAAAGGAGTTTATATACCAGTTTATACACCAGTTTATATACCAGTTTATATACCAGTTTATATACCAGTTTATATTCTCGTCATCGAAGTACCTGTTATATGCAAAATACAAGTCTGGAGTGTTGTGTGGGGAGAGATGGGAGTTTGTATACAAGCTCAGTATAAACCATGATACACGGCCAGCCGGCCGCGCGATGGTAGGAGCCATGGAGTAGCTCCCTGCGCCTGGTCCAGGGCGAGGTACCGAGCATCTTACGTAGAAACTTACGTAGCTACGTAGACAACGTGTCTGAATAGCGGTGTCGTTAGGTAGCGCCATGTGAACACAATAATAGAAAAGCTGACAGGATCGCTTTTCTAAATGTGTGGTGTTAGGGCGCGTTTGGCTGGTACGAGGTGATTCGTCATTATTTAACACGAAAGTAAAAAAGCCTTCCGTAGGGTTCGAGGTGTGAATCTTTCCATTTCTTCCTCTAAAAATGTAATATTGATGTCCTTGGATTGCAATGTTGGGTTTCTTATTCACATAATCCTTGGTGTTCGGAAGCAGGTGGCAGTTGAAAAATGGCATTTTTTCCGCATATTATTTGTTGTGGTCATGGTAAAATAGGCTCTAGCAGCACAATTTCAAGTCAGTTTTCAATAGAAGGAGACCCTACGTATCCAGGATGGTCCCGCAAGACTGGATCAAGATCATGCTCATCCAAATACATGTACAAGCCATTCAAGCTTGCATAGCAATAGGTGTATCACCCTGATTTCATGTGCAATTGTGAACAACATCTGTTAGCAAATTCAGTAATTGCCAATGTTTGGCCAATACCAGGGCCAACACACCAACATTCCTCCTTCCCAGGCGTCGCTTCCAGTATGTAGCTATCATATGCTTCCTCTTCAGCTAAATATGTTGTCACTGGAGGTTGAAACCAGCGGCTATGACTCTCTTATACTCTATTTTACCGTAAACATCGCGCACTTGCAGACTGAAAGCTCTTGCAATGTCACTTCCTGACGGAATATCAGTCTCAATTTTGGAGGCGAACTAGACAGAACATTGGCAATGGCAATGGTAAAAAGAAATTTGACAAGACTTTTTGCAGGCGCTGTTAATGAGATATTTTACGGATTTGTTAAGAAATGACCCAATGTTAAAAAATTACGAATCACCTCGTACGAACTAGAACAGGATTCACCAGAACAGCGCGTTTGGTTGGGACTGCACCTGTTCTGGGTCGGCCAGAACATTTTCTGCTTGCTCCGGCCTCGAGGCTGGAGCAGACCGAGCAGTTTCACTTTTTCACAGTGAAACCTGGCGGGAACATCGATTTTGGTCCCAAATGATCACGTGCATACGCTTTTGGGTTGGACTCGCCGTACCGTACACAGTGACCATGGTGACCCATACACATTTTGAAGAATGCACCACGTTTGGCACATTTTTCCACAAAATGTGCTCTGTTTCTGGAGGACCGTTTGGTTGGCATGAGGCTGCTCCATGTGCACCAGCTGTTCGATCTTGTTCTAGATCGTACCAACCAAACGCACCCTTAAAGGCCGATTCACAATACTAGTACAACTTTCTGCGACGCGACACGCGATTTGCGACAGTTGCGACAAGAAACTGCCTGTCGCGAGCTGTCGCAAGCTGTCGCAAGCTGTCGCAATGCACCTGTCGCAGAAGTTGAAGAAAGTTCAACTTTTGCGACATGCGACACGCGACATACACAAATGGAGTACAGTTTCGACCCTGGGTGCACGTGCAGTGTACGTGCAGTGCACGTGCATAGTACTTCTTGTGCATGAGGATGTCGCAAACATGAAGAATATTGTGAACCGTGTGTCGCTGTCGCAGCTCGTCGCATGTGTCGCAAGTCGCATGTCGCGTCGCAGAAAGTTGTATTGTGAATCGGCCTTGATGTATGCTTTTATCACATTGCTGCATAGGTCTTTCCAGTCTTGTCGTGACTGGGCGATGGCATGGAGGTTCTCAAGTTCCTCGCGTTTCTTGAGTGACCCCCCGATACGCTGCAGGTCCTGGTGCAGACTCAGTAGGGAGGTTTAGTTCCCACGTAACGGAAACGCGTACGTGGGTGATCCACGTAAAGTGCATGAATATGAAGGGCACCCACGTTGCAATGTTGTGTTTAGTCACACGGAACAAACAAAAGCATAAAGCTAAAGGCCAAAACCTGGTCAAAGACGAAGCTACCCCGGCCTTAGAAGCTCATCTAATATTTTGATTTCGTGCTTCGGAAACTTCTTCAGCTGAGCACCCTCACAGCTCGCACAATGCGCTCCATTCTGATTTTCACCCACGTTCTGGCGGAACGTACTTTTGCTCACCTCACAAAGATTCTTTTGCTCACCTCACAAAGATTCACCTAGGGTTCCCTGTAACAAGGCCATGCCTGTTGGGACTCCCCTAGTCAAATAATAAATACTACTACTACTACTACTACGTGGGTGAGCCTCCATACACGGTATGTCGTGAATCAGAAAACGTCTGTACGTACGTGGGTCACTGAGTATCACGTGGTACACCCACGTAAAGTACCCACGGATTACGTGGGACTAAACCTCCCTAGTGGCAGAGTGGTACGTGGTGGCAGCGGAACTTGGGTTTTCGAAGTATGCTGCCATTATGGATGCCGACATTATGGAAACGGCTTTGCTATTCACCACTCGCTCCTCGACAGAGTGTATCGAATCTGGAGCGAGTCGGATAGATTTGCCGTTCTGCAAATTCGACTGTCAAAAAATAAACTATCAAGTTAGCTCGTCAACGTGTACGCGCCGACGTCGACGAAAGCTTTGAAAGCTGTGTTCACAACTGGCGCGTGTACGCGTGAAACCACGCGTTTGTGCGTATTTTTGCTGGCTTTTGGGGCGCCATGCGTACGGAAACGCGCCGAAATGGCCCATATGGAACTTCCAACCAGGGAGTATACTCGAGTAGTACAATGGTATTGTACTACTCCCTGCTGTGCATGCAGCGTGAGTCTGCGGACGCAAGCGGCTCCTTTTGGACTTGAAAAAAAAATGTATGTGCTTTCAAATTTCTCCAAAAGCGTGACTGCGTGTACGCTTCGAGGACTGTGCCTGTCTGATGACATGACCACCCGTTTTGGTCTTTTCACCATAGACGTAGACGTAAACGGGAGTCGGAGAACGTAGTGTGATGACGGCCGCGCTCACACTGCGACCATGAGCACGCGTCCATGCGTCAGCAAAACGCAGAAACGTGGGAGTCGTGCTCACACTAGGCCTCGTACACGCGTAGACGTGAAGTTGTCACACAAACTTTACGAATTGCATGTTCGTATCCAAAAGAGTCCGTGCGTTTCCTAATAAAGTTGTGGCCCGTTTTGGATGTAATTTTTCGCATGTTACATGTTGGAGGAAGTGCCTCGTGGCTCGTATTCTTGAAGTCGACGAAAATAATTCATACAATCAGGTAGGTTTGGACTCTTGAGGGACTGCCGCTGACATCCAAGCGCTTTCGCTTTCCTGACCTCGTGGTCAGAGCAAGTGCCAGTGCAGTGGAAATTCCGGTAGTGGTTTCTTTCGTCTGTTGCCGAGATGAGAACTGTATTTTCCGATGATATGTAACTGAAATGTCATGAGGTATGGCATTCCATCATCGCAGAAAAGTAGAGAAAGATAATTTCCGAAACCGAAAAGCCAGACCAAGCTGCCATCGTATTGAACGAGTATACTGTAGAAATTGGTCACTGACCCGATCACAACGAAGCAACTACAAAAACAAAATCGACATCGTCCAAAAAGGGCAAAGAATGCATATATGGCGGTGCGTGCGTGCAGGACCACAACTACAAATTTTAAAAATGTGCAAATGTTGAGGTGACATCGACAACCGCCGATGTTCATGAATCAACACACCGGAATTTGAGAAATTGAACATACTTCAGGCCAGGTTGTACACAAATACGCTTCACGTCTACGATCATGTTGCCGCCAATTAATGCGCCAAGTCATGCAGCAGCAGCAACAACGCAGCCGATATGCTGGATATGCTGGCGTCAGACGCTGCTGCGTCAAATTGGGCATCCGCTTTTTGCGCCAAATCCCGGCACTATGAGTACTGTGGCGCTGCGGAGCACTCGTACGTGACCTTGCGCTGTAGCTGTATGCACTCTGAGCCGCAGAAAGTCGTAGGGCCCGTCCAGCAACATCCATACATATTATACGCAGTAATTCTGAGGAGAATGTTCACTTGCTCATTGTTGTCCTTGAAGATAGGCTAAAATACGATTGCTGGCGATATACGAGTGTTATACGTGAATCGGACGAGCCATCGTTGCAGGTGAGTAATACAATGTATGTACCATAGGTAGGCTCCGGCGGATTATGCTCGCGAAATCATGGAATTATGCTTTCATGGATTCTCGCATTATGCTCGTAAAATCCTCATATTATGCTTTGGCACCCGGGGATATATATTCACTTTGTTGTACTTATGGAGCCTCAAAGTTTGGAAAATTGTGCATTTTTCCGTACTTGCAAGGTGCAAGTGGCCATTTTACAACAAAATACATGAGTATCCCCATACCAAGGTGTCCATGCATGTTAGAGATAAACATGGAAAAGAGAAAACATTACTTCTTCTGTTCATTACTTGAGTTCTTTTATACTTCAGTAAAAATAATATTTCATTGCCAAATTACTTTGAGTTACCTTTGGAAATTATCATGTTCAACTGTCTTCGTAATCATCATACTCGTCCAACCGATGTCGCCCTCACCCTGCGAATAATCAGCTCATCACTCCCGTAGCTCCACTTCTCCTTCCATCATGACCGAACATCAACTACACATCACTTTAGAGCAATATCAAGAGTGCATAAATGTTTATGGACTCTTGGCAATATCCATAGGCTGCAGTCATATCATGGCTGCTAAAATCCAGAGGTCATGACTTCGTAACATGCATAATGCACAATGCACAATGCACAATGCACAATGCATAATGCATAATGCATAATGCACAATGCACAATGCACAATGCACAATGCATAATGCATAATGTACAAATGTAATGACTGTCATGTACATGTACACGGAGTTTTGCGGACTACCCGCCGCTATCTCGTCCGCCCCGGGATACCTGATGAAGGCTGATTCACTCGCATCTTCACTCGCATCTTCTGCTACATGTACTGTGTCAGTGTGCGAAAGAACTTTGAAGAAGACGAGTTCGAGCATACAATACTGTATTGCCATGATTTCTACCCTGCTTTTCATTGAAAACACTATCTGCATGACCTCCATGCAGACCACCAGCACTGATCAGGTGCATTGCACACAGTTGTCGTGATAGCCTACATACCGGTACTAGAACTGTGGTATAAGCGTGTAGTAATGCTCCTACCTCCGAGAGGATGCCAAATTATGCTCCAAATTTTCAACCACCAAATTATGCCAATAATTATGCCGGCATAATGCGCCGGTGCCTAACCATAGGTGTCCATTGAATCACCCTCCTGCATGTACATGTATCATGTATCATCACGTTCGCATCTTTGTTCAGCCTGTGAGGCAGGCAACGGGCTGACGCGTCTGTCACACCGTCTATTCAAGCTAGTAATAATATTATTATGTCCTCCCTTGTAGATTTCTCCTTCTCTTTTTTTAAATTCAGCCAGTCGGCTACTATACGTCTTTTTCGTCTGGGGGGGGGGGGTTAGACAAGGGAAGTAGCTTATTAATGGCGTGAGCCCGCCTTTCGGTACCGGGAGTTACATATCCTTTCCTTTGATATGGCGGTTGCATAGGACGTGGCCTTTCACAAAGATTTTTTCGAGAGCGATCACGGTGTGCGTGGCAAACCTCACTATAGTTTGCCATCCGCGGCCACAGCGAGCATTTCGTTCCGGAACTCATCCCGCCTGTGTGCAGTGTGCACGGCCGGTGGTACATGAGGATGAAATGATGACATAATGATGACATAATTATGTGGTACCACTGCGGGTCCATGACAATCTTAGTCCTTCACGGTCTTTAATTTATAATTTGCCAGCAGAAAGCCTGCACGTCTGCTCGGCAGCCTCCACTAACGCACTTAAAACTTCCATTTTCGGCTCCGTCTCCAGAAACCCCTGATTATGCTCGAAAGTCTTTAGTTTATCTAGTTGTCTTTTTTCTCTGGCTCCAGGTACACTCTCTTGCTGTTTGTATGGCTGTACAGTTGTTGCTTGCTCATGTTTGAATCAATGTTTGCATGGTGTACTTATGCGCTGTGAGTTGTTGTCCTTTGATTTGCAGATTGTATCGCGACATGGCTGGCCAACTTGGACTAAGCATCCTCAGTGCCCTGGTCGTCATTGCCTGTCAAAGTGCTGGTGGGTTTCTGTTGTTGCAAGGAGTTTCGTTTCAGTGCTTTCTAGCCGTATGTTAACTTTGAGCAAAGTCAAAACAAGTTCCTAGCCTGTCAGTATGTGCGTGGGGGGGGGGGGGGGGCTGGGTGTGCGGTACCTGAGTGCATGGATGTGGAGTTGAAGGGCTGTAATTCCCCAAAACCATAGTGTCGAGAAAACGACCGCATATGTGTATGATGGCTGGTACATATCATTCATGGTCATTATGTGCATGCTGAATAACTGTTGATTGGAACAGAGCGAAGTGATTGAGGGACATCTGAAGAAAATATAGATTAGTACGACTCGTAGAGTAGAAAACTATAAACAAGCGTTTCGAAGAAAAAGCACTTTTGTATAGAGGGTGAAGAATGGAAAGATGGTACATGTGATACAACTGCAGAGATGCTAAGTACTGTATAGCAGGAAATTTTCGGACGGAATTCATTTTCGTACGATTTCGTACACGGCTTCTTTTTGTACTAAAATTAATTCCGTACTAAAATTTGCACCTGTGAAGTTATGTACACTATACATGCGTATCGCATGCGAAATTGTGAACACGTGCATTTAGCATGCAGCACTGTACGAAAATAAAATCCGTTCGAAAGGTCGAAATTCAGCTTTGTCCGAAAATATTTCCGTCCGAAAATGTCCTGCTGTACAGTATTTCAAAACAATTGAATCTTTATGATGAAGAAAGGAAAAGGACAAAATGTTACGAGTTATGACAAACTGTCCACCAACGTAACCAGATCTTATACAGTCAGCAAGTGCGACAAAATGGCACAAAACTGACAAGGAGTACTGAGACATTCGGCGACCTGACACCTAGCTCCAACACTTCAGAATGTCTCAGTACTCCTTGTCAGTTATGTACCATTTTGTCGCACTTGCTGACTGTATAAAATCTGGTTACGTTGGTGGACAGTTTGTCATAACTCGTACCATTTTGTCCTTTTCCTTTCTTCATCATAACTATATTGGCTCACCATCCGAGTTCAAATTGAATCTTTATTTTGTGCTTCTATCCAGCTGTGCCACTGACTGGGCACAGTTTTTGTCCTCAGGTTGGCGTAGCCCTGAAATGGACATCTGATTCCAACCTTTACAACTTTACAAATGGCCATGATATATGCAACCTACACAATGGGACATTACTGAGTGCAAGAGCGTTCACGTCGGGATGCACGTCACATGATGTTCCCCATCCTGCCTGGATCGACCAGTTTGAGCATGGAAAAAACGATAATATTGCATATGTCACTGGATCACCAGACTCTTCCACTCGTTACCTGAACGCCTCAATACACGTCGTGTGCGAAATACGTAAGTGAAACTCTGTGCCAATACACATGGGTTTTACTCTTTTGCGTTTTTAGCACTGAGCTGTCTTAGCTATAAACTGGTTAATCTTGAACAACATCAAACAGTATTTCGCCCTGACTAGTGCTTACCGATATGTTCAGTCCTCTTAATGCCGGCCGTGCTACACGTAGTCAGGGAAATCGAGCACTTAAATTTCCAGTCACTAAGACATCCGCTGGCACACATTCTGCCTCATTCCAATGTGTATCACTGTGGAACAGGCTCCAGCCCGACATCAGGAAAATCCCACAGTACCACCGATTCATGCGATCCCTCCCAGCACATGCTGCTTTTCAGTAATGCCACTGCCCGCTGTACTATTATTTCCTTTACTGGCCTAACTGGCTTTAACAAAGTAATACTTTACTACCCACTCTACTCAGTGTCATTACCTTCATTGGCCTTTTATAATTATTTATTCTCCTTTTTAGTCGATATCATGTAATTAGGCAAATTTGCCTGTTTGTTCTTCGACTCTAAATAAACAAACAAACAAACAAACAAACAAAAACTAGCTGCAGATAGTGAGCAAAGGATGAGATTGCATATGTCACCGGATCACCATCCTCTTCCACTCATTACGTTGACGCCTTAATGTACGTGGTGTGCGAAATACGTACTTCGAAGTAAGTGAAACCCACCAATCAGTGAAAGGTGCAACGTCAAATCCAACCCCATTACAACATCGGTAAATGTATGCCTCTCACACGCAGAAACGGCGGCGCCGTCACTAAAGTGTGTGGTTGTACTATGTTACACTAATTTTATTTGACCATCAGTATAGGGAATAAATTTGTTGATGCCATCTTCAGTACCACTAGTATAGGGATTGCTGCCTTCTTGCTGGGGATCATGAATTATGGCACAGGTCCTAGGCTATGAGGCGGCCACAACAACTGTATCAAACTCCAGTCTTCCACTGTAAACCCAGATAACTTTGCGATCCTGCAATGTTCGCGATTTTCGCTAAAGGTGTGAATCGCGAACTAAGTGGAAGCGAAAATGACTTTGGACCCGAGTCAAATTGACTCCAATCGCATACGTTTGCAGGCGCAGAATGTTCGTCACCTCAATCGGCGAACTAAACTGGGCACAAAAAGGGTTCCGGGTTTAAAGCAATCCCTTCCCTACAATAGCACATGATTGTATGGAGGACAAAAGGCAATTTTTTTACCATACTGCAGTCCATTCATTGGAAACTGGCACCCTAACATGTTGGTGTCTCCCGCGTGGATTTCATGAAACAACAGTACATTCTGCCTTCTGTGACCCGTGCAATTCATTGCGACATTTGAGGCCAGGGGATTAGAAATTTCGGCAGGTATTACAAAATTAAGACAGGTATGCCATTGGAAAACGTGTATGGAGAAGCAGATCTCAAACCCAGATTTTTGAGATTCAAAGTGGGTTTTTGATCCTCAACTCTGCCCAAATCGGACTTTAAAATGCCAGCGGGACTGTTTCCGATGAATGGACTGTAATAGTCCGAGGTTCCAGTGCAGCCTTTCGAATAAAGCCAAAACGTTCTGGATGTTGTTTTCGCGTATTTCGTAGTCGATCTTACTAGGATACTGCAGTTCAGCCAGCATTGACTTCTCTGATGAAGCGCCTAGTGCAAACCTTGGTGACTAACTCTTTTATTGCATTGAAAGACTGTGGCTGGGAAGGTGTTGGCGAGCTGAGAGAGCTCCAGTGCTGTCACAAGAAGCCAGATCACCTCGGCCCTGGTTTTGCCCAATGCTGCATATAATTTATTTTTCTCTGGCAGTACGGTCCAGAAAACTGGCAGTGGTAGGTCCAATGGGAGAGGGAAAATACCCACGTGCCATCAGATTATGTGGCACGTGTTGTGCAATTCTATGGCTCCTAGCAAACCCACAGCAGCTCAAGTACTGATGGGTTGCAGAATGAACTGCAGATATGATACATGTTTGCAAACAATTAAATCGTTATTTTGTGCTTCTATGCAGGTGTGCCACTGACTGGGCACAGATATTGTCCTCAGGTTGGCGCAGTCCTGAAATGGACACCCGATTCCACCCATTTCAACTTTACAAATGGCCATGATATATGCAACTTACACAATGGTACATTACTGAGTGCAAGAGCATTCACGTCGGGATGCACATCACATGATGTTCCCCATCCTGCCTGGATCGACCAGTTTGAGCATGGAAAAAACGATAATATTGCATATGTCACTGGATCACCAGACTCTTCCACTCGTTACCTGAACGCCTCAATACACGTCGTGTGCGAAATACGTAAGTGAAATCCAGTGCCAATACGCACGAGGCTTGCTTTCTTTAGCACTGGGCTGTCTTAGCTATAAACTGGTTAATCTTGAACAACATCAAAGAGTGTTTCGCCCTGACTAGCTGCAGCTCTTTACACTTCAATGATACACACACCTGTACCTAGTTCCCACTTAGCACTTAGCAGGCATACGTTTGGGCTGACACCACATGCACAGTAGGCTAGTTTTAAAAACAGGTGCTCTGTCGTCGTTCGAGTAAGAATTTTTTAATTTTGGTGATGCCATCTTCAATAATCTACCACTAAGGAGATTTTGGTTGGGTGCCATGATGACTCATGTACGAGATGAAAACTGGAGCCGAGGAAACGGGAGGCATACACGTACCCTGATGACAGCCCTGTAATGACATGTCCACAAGTAACACATCGATCCTCTTCTTTCCGCCGAATATCTCAGCGCCACATAAATCATGGCCATATATCTCAGCACCAAATATGTCAGCGCGAACTTTCTCAGCGGGACAGATCTAAGCGCCATATTTCTCAGCGCCAATTTGTGATGCAATGTATGTATGAACATGGCCTGTTGTGACTATGACCGTACAAGTATTGACTTCGCGCTGTCCTTCTCCTTTTTACCTGTTGCCTTTCTTCCTTTTCGTATTCTTTGTACAGCTGTGAAGTGTGCTGTACCTGCAATTACCGATGGTGTAACTGACCGGTTAGTGCTTCAATACCAGGAAAATGTTACTTATTCCTGCACAAAGAATCTAACTTTAGTGGGTGTTGCCACACAAGTTTGCACAGCTAATGGAAGTCTTTCTTCTGTGCCGCCTCGCTGTACCTGTAAGTTCTGTTTGATATAACAGTGGAGATCGGATATAATGATCTTGCATGTAACGACAAATTGAGTTTAGCGACACAATGCTGTTACCCAAGTCGTTTTAAGTGAGGATCGGGTTTAGTGACAGATCGAATAAAGTGACATTTTGTTCTCTCCCGAATAGGGGTTTGCGTACAATGCTCGAAAAGGTGGCAGATTATGCTCGAAAAGCAGTGAAATTGGCAGAACCATACAAACCTTATGGTGGGCAATTCCTCGAAACCTGCTCCATTTCTTTATCCACATACCAAACATGCATGAAACTTACCAGAAAAAGTACCGAATTCTTCCAATTTTTCTAGCGGCATTATCCGCGTATGCCTACTCCCGAAGGAGTGTCGTTATAACCAATCTCCAGTGCACATAGTATTATTATCATTGTGTTGAACCGTGGGAGAACTACTGATCCAAACGCGAATTATAACAACCCAAATCCCAAGCACATTAAGGCGGGACTCACACCGGAAACGAATACACCAATCCCGAAAAGATTGTCTGGGTTCAAAAGGGGGCATGTCAACTGAGATCATAGTACACTGTGCAACACATACATGGCACTACCTGATCAGCATGCGGCACAGGACGTGTTTGATAGTTCGCGTGTGAATGCGAGGGTAAGTACACGGTTTTTCTCGTTAGTTGCATGCAAGAGAGACGGTGCGACAGAAAGCAAAGCCCTTTGTAGTTTTCTCTCTCGTACTGGTAATGGTCTGCTGTTGGAGTTGAAATGCTAAGACATAATCCTTGATTCGCTCTTCTGTGTAGTGTGAAGAGGTCAACGAACATGTAAAGCTCACTTTGATGAAGTAGGCAAGGCTGTGAGCGCTGTGGCTCAAAGAGATAGGCCCTAAATCCTACGAGATATTTTGAGTGCTATTGTTTGTTGCGAGCGCTTCGTCTTCGATGAGTTCTGCCTCTTTCCTGGCAGGTGCCCTCCTATAGGACCAACCACGAAGTGACTGTACTCATCTGCAGCCGATCAATGTTATATTGCACAAGAAGATAGTGTTTTCGCCAAGCCAGTTCCCAGCCAAAACCATCGCCGTGTCACACCGTCAGAACGAGTTCATGATGAGAAACATCATTCGCGCGAGCGTGATGAAGAACTATTTCTAAAGACAGCATAGTCTTTACCCCCGGGACGACAACTATGCGCACGTCCTGCAAGGGGAGAATGTCACCAGCGACATCAACGAACACGACGGCAGTATTTCGGAAACCGGAGTCAGTGGAGGTCGTCAAGCTCTTCCGCGACCTGGTACATGTAAAGCAGCAAATCGAGAAGTTAGTTGAAATCGTAGCTGTTGCAGTATGTCAGCGCTATGTAGCTTGTATTTTTCACGGAGAGTCGATCGCCACGCAAATGTTTCTCTCCTCACCGAGAGCTAGCTGGCCTCCAAACTCCGTCACGGTCTGCCTAAGGTACCGAAGGTCCTTTGACTAGCTGCTGGCAGGACCTCATCAAATCCTTTAGCTTCAGTTCAGCGGGCAAAATTCTATCTCTCCTCCGCCATGAGCTGACACACACAAACCGAATACAAAACGATGCACTTCACACGAGCTGACGAACCCAGACAATCTTTTCGGGATTGGTCTATTCTGGTCCCTGCCAACCAAGGCATCTTTGAATGTACTCCACATGTGGTGCACTTCTTGTAATTCGCGCCAGTCTCCAATGCAGCTACCCAGAATATGTCAGTACAATTGGACACCAGGAAGCCACTGGGATAGATGGTGTTGCAGCAAGTCTCTTCCAGGCATATGCTGACATCCTGGCACCGTCACTCACGCAAATTTATTATGTTATCTTCTGTAATTAAAAAAAATCATTATTTTCGGCAAAGTCCTATCGAGGGGGTTTCCGAACTTTCCATAATACCAAATAGGGGTAGGGGTAGTTGTGCAGGGCGGACTGGATCTTCCACGACTTCTCTCTTATCGCATTCACTGTGCACGGTGAATCCCTGTACGTAGACTGTTCGCCTGTCAACTCCTTGATCCTGTTCTAAAATCTCCCTTGCATTGCCAGTGCAGTGCCGAAATTTGGAATTGTAGATTTCCAGGTCCTGTTGTAAGAAGCCGCCCCGGGTCTAGCTGTACTCAAGTTGCCATGATGTGCCCCCCCCCCCCCCCCCCCCGTGGCTTGGCAGAGAGCCAGTCTCAGTGCAACCTGTTCCGTGTGTTTAGTGCAACAACTGTCGGTAAATTCATGGCACAGAAGGCTGCTTCGCGCTGAAATTACGTTGAAGCGGAGCACAAACGTCCAGGCCCTCATGTACGAGCAACGAATCGATTAGACCACTCCTCCCACATGGCTCTTGAACTTCCTGTAATGCTAAGTGTTTGGCCATTTGATGTTTAGGCATGTTGTCGCACTTCCTGACAACATATCTAGTTATGATGGTGGATTGCTACCCCTTCTTCTTCTAAATTTCATATTGTTCATGTGTTTTGTGTGTGTGTGTATGTGTTTTCCTCAATTTCGGATCCGCTAATCCGTCCTTTTAGTCCCAGCATCTCTGACATCAGGTTGGTTTCCTTGCACATATTCTACATGTGAGATAGTTAAATTGTAATCTATAGCAAAGGGAATTTATTATGAATGGGAGTATAACCGGCACTGGAATGCTAGCCAAGCCAAACTCGTGATGTCACGAGATATGGACATATGCATTATGCCACGTTCATTTAGCTAGCGTAGTGTAGGCCGCATACTGGTATACCGGTACTGTACAAAGTGAACCGGAGCACAATACGCACCCTGTATTTGGACCAACTAAACGTTTTGAAACTTCACCGTACATCAAGAGTGTATCGCGCAGCCTAGATTTGAGAAAACTAAGGGTTAACCTTTGATCCCGCCCGATCCACGAGTTAATTCGTGTTCAAAAACGACCTCAAATCCGAAGCACAAGTTTACTCGTGTGGGACTGTGAATGTTTGTGCAGTGCATAGACATCACTGTTCAACTTATCATAACTTCATTGTCCTTCCTCCGATCGCCAAAAATGAGGGTTCATTGGAAAGCTGAGAGAATACGCGTTTCAACGATGAGTCGTTTGATGTAGCGCGATGAAAAATCACTGAGCGCCGAAGAGAGAAACACGGATACGCTTCAATTGGTTTCAAATTGCGTGCAAGCACGGCGGTGCTCAAACAGGACTTCCCCTGTGACTCATGGTTGCATAGCGCATGCGTACTGGAAACCAAATCAATCGATTGTTTTCAGAAATCTTCAGGACTTTGAATCACCATTCTACGTCGAGTAAAACTTCAGAACAGATGAAATTTTTGGATGTGGGTACAGTATCTCGCTTAGGCACAATAGGGCAGCTCTCAGAAGACTTGAAGGCGATTCTGTTGCACTGAGATATTCCAAATCAAGTAAGTGAAATAAGATAATTTTGAAATGCATACTGGGACTGTCGTGCGATTGATCGCGCACCTCTGCGCGAACCCTGTAGGAATCCATGGATGCCATGGTAGAGCTCAAAGGGTTAAGTCAGCATTATAAGGTTGTTTTGGACCATTATGGTTTAATAGCATTACACAGAAGTTATCGAAGCATTACGGAGGATTAGCAAGACGAAATTTGCGTTCCCGTTCGCAAACATTTTTCAGTTCGCGAACTGGATTGCGAACTTTCGCATTTTTCGATCGGAAAAGTAGTCGGAACACGAATCGCGGATTCGTGTCAGGGCAGTTATAAATGTACCACGCTGTAATGTCTGTACACAATGTACGTCGTGTCAACGTCATGCATGTGAGAATTCTGTTTGCTAATCAGGGATCGGTTTACTTTGATTTTTTTCCATAGCAGTCACTGCTACACAGTTTAACAATTGACTAGCAACTCCCAGTATTGATTAGCAGTTTTCCTTCATCAAAAGTTTACATGTATATCTGTTAGGGGTGAAACAATTATACCGAGTACTCGAGTATTCGCTCGGTTTTTTCAGAAATAATCGTACTCGGAATAAATCAGAGTACTTGTTCATACATGGCACATGCATTTACCACAGAAATCTGCAGTTTCAGAGCAGCAGTCGGCAGATATTGATGTGCAGACTGTGTGGTGAACATTTGTTCACGAGTAAAGAGAGCCCAAATGACCCACCAACCAATATACCAGAGAAAAATGACTGCCACTCGGTTCATCAGGGTTGTATCATGTGATTTTAAGGCCCTCGGTGTGCAATTTTTAGGAGATGAAGAATACTCGAATACTCGAATATTCGATCGGAGAAAATCAGAGTACTCGAACTCGGGATTTCAATGCCAACTTTCACCCCTAATATCTGTACAATAGCAGGATTTTGTACAGAAGAGGACAATAGCTTCAGTTACTATTTGCTTTTCCAAACGAACGGTTGACCTGAATATTTTACGTTAGGGTTTCTGCTTGGGCTTGTTACATGTTCAGTGTCCATCCGACTTCAAGTTCTTCACAACACAATGTCCTTCAACAGGGCAGTTCCACTGATTCCTTCCACAAAGAAAGCTCAGGAAAGCGCTCAAACGATCGTGACACTTTGTTCAAAGCGCACAACATTATCGCTTTTCTCCTTTTCTTCATTGAAACGAATCGACACTCCTGGCGCGTCCAGTTCTTTTTCCCGCTTCTGCACAGTGATAAGATTCACTAAACATGTTGGCTACATGAGACTAAGAACCATCTACTTCAACTGTGGCTTGTCGAACAGAAACAAACTGAATTGAGCTTGACAGTAAAAGAAGAAAGGAGAACTTCAGGGAAAGTCCCCACCGTGTACAAAACTTCAAAAGACTGCAGACTGTGCAGTCTTGTACGACCGGTCGACCAGTGCGACTATGGAAGTGGCTTGTGCAGTGTCCAAAATCAAACAGAGCGCGATCCGCGACCCGCGCGCGGACTGAGCAGGACAGGCCAGTTGGTTGGAGTAGTAGAACACTACTCCTTAGTCAGCAGTACAACAGTCGCATGCAAACTGCAACTCAAACAGTACAGAATGGACTTTTTACATACCGGTATGCATGGCCAGTGCATCGCAGTTTTGGGCGATAAAACACGAAAAGCGAAGCGCAGCCACTGAATTTTGATTCGCAAACTGCGATGCGAACCCGGATAAATCGCGAATTCCGTCACTGAGTTCAACTTTCCTTGGAGAGCGAACGCAAATGCGAATTTTCGTCTTGCTAATCCTCCGTAATATCCGTTGGATCCTACAGCTGGCGTGGGCGCTTGCTGTGGTCTTTACAGTATGTGTGTGTGCGTGTGCGTGTGTTTGTGTGTGGAAAAATGAAAAATAGGGATTCACTGGCCAGAAAAGTCACTTCAATCAGCTGTGTGGTGGATACCAGGCTACAAATAGTGGCGGTCAATTCATCAGCCTTGCAAGCTGTTGAATGGTGTAATCCCAGCACAAGTTGCTATGTGTAACATAGCTGTTCGCTATCATCGCTTCCGCGATGGGCAGGTCTGAGGTGTGTGTGTGTGTGTGTGTGTTTGTGTGTGTGTGAGAGGGGGTGTGTGTGTGTATGTGTGTGTGTGTTTGTGTTTGTGTGTATGTGAGAGGATGTGTGTGTGTATGTGTGTGTGCATTTGTGTATGTGTCCCATATGGTGCAGTGGTATGTGCAGTCGATTTCCAACCGAGAGGTTGCGGGTTCAATTCCCGACGATTATGGTCGCACACGTCTTTCTTCTCTTTCTCGGACTCTTCCTGACTTTTCTTTCATTCTCCTGGGTGGTTACCAACAGCCAGTGTATGCCGGAGTGTGTGGTGTGGTGTGTGTGTAGAAAAAAAAGAAAAAAAGAAGAAAAATGGAGAAATGAAAAATAGAGATTCACTGGCCAGAAAAAGTCACTTCAATCAGCTGTGTGGTGGATACCAGGCTACAAATAGTGGCGATCAATTCATCAGCCTTGCAAGCTGTTGAATGGTGTAATCCCAGCACAAGTTGCTATGTCTAACATAGCTGTTCGCTATCATCGCTTCCGCGATGGGCAGGACTGAGGTCTGAGGTGTGCATGTGTATGTGTGTGTATGTGTTTGTGTATGTGTGTGTGTCTGTGTGTGTGTATGTGAGAGGATGTGTGTGTGTGTGGTGTGGTGTGTGCGTGCGTGCGTGCATGTGTGTGCATTTGCATTCTCTTTCATGCTGAACAGCGGAATTCAGATGTCCATACTATCCATCGACAATCCTGAAGTACTTCCCTGTTGATATGACCTTCGCCAAAGCAACTGATCATTGCAAGGCGTTTAATGCAAAAATAGCGACAAGAACTTCCTGCGTGAAGGAATTTCTTAGTACCTCAGAGAGCAATCCGGTTGCGTGGTTGGCCCAGAAAAGCGAGGGGTTGCAGTATGCTAGTGACGGCAAAAAATATGATGTAACATCTGACCCAGCACTCAAGCACAAGGTTGTGTGTGAAACTGCACCGGGTAAGCCTAGTCTATCTCCAGAGCCACTAACCACCCACAAGTTGTGTGTGAGTAAATGTCTAAATCTGCGCATCTATCTATCTGTACATTTGTCCGTCCGCCAGTCTGTCTATTTATCATTAAACTATACTTCAGCATCTCCTTATCTTATGTCGACTATGTGCTCTCTGTCATCTCGTTTCCTGCCCTAACTCAGATGTTCATGCCCAGAAAGAACGGATTTGGTATCAAAAAGTTGAACACAAAAAATAATTTTTTGTGAAGCATGGAAGCTAGCATGACTTCGGGTCAAATTCGAATCTTCCCAAATTTGGAGAAAGGAATTCTGCAAGTCGAAGAAAACTTAGGGCTGAAAGAATACAGAGGTCATTTGCACATACAAAGGGCCAACAGGGTCTTGAGTGACTCATTTGCACACACAAAGGGCCAAAGGCGACTAACCATCTTGAGTGACTCATTTGCAGGACACATGTAAAGCGCCAACGCTTAACGGGGCTGTTACTTGAAATGTAGCATGTGCTACATGTAGGTATTCACATAATATGTATTTTTGTTGTTGTGTGTGTGTGTGTGTGTGTGTGTGTGTGTGTGTGTGTGTGTGTGTGCGTGTGTGTGTGCGTGTGTGTGTGTGTATGCATGTGTGTGTGTATATTTCTGTCTGTGTTTGTGTTCTCTCCTGTGCACAGAGGGTAGTCACACGTGCCTGAAGACTAGAGCTCACATTGGTTTGTACGCCAACAAAGCTACACTGGTACAGGCAAAGGAGCAATGCAGACGTCTGGGAGGACGGCTACCCGCTGGGAGCGACGAGGCAGATTGCCTAATGCACGCCATGCACTTAGCGGGCGATCGTTCAGTTGCCTACAAAACCAAGCCATGGGTGCTCAGCTATGATGAAAGGCCACTTTATCCGCACTCTAACTCCTATTATACACTCTACGATACCAATAAAATTGATGTCAAGATGTCAAAATCCTTAAAATTCCACACTGTGTCCTGTGCCTTCAATCTGAGTAAGTCAAACACTAGGCACACATTGCCTTGTTTATCAAGATTCAATAATTTCATTGTGTCTGTGCATAGCAGCCAAATCAGACGTCAAACTAGAGCACCTTGGCTGCTCCCCGGTCGCTCTTACTACCTCGCCTTAGATTACAGCAAGCGACAGAATATTGTCCGGCTCAGAGCAACTGAAGGCAATACTGGCAAGAACGTGTGGTTGCCAGGGTCACACATTGCCTTGAATCAGCTCAAAGCTCTTGTAAAGATTTCTTGTCTGTTCAAATGTGAACTGGATTTTGTAAAATGTACATTTTCTTCTGCGCTTTACGCGGAGTTAGTGCGCCTTGTCCTGCTAGAGTGCTCTTGTGAAAGTTAGGTGTCGTAACGTACAGACCAGACTATCTCTCTATCTCTCTCTCTCTATCCATCTCTCTCTTTCTCTCTCTCTCTCTCTCTTTCTTTCTTTCTTTCTTTCTTTCTCTCTTGGAAAAGTCCAGCGCCAAATATTGGTGATGGACGTTGGTTGTGGAAGGCATGTGGCTTTGTGTTGGTGGTGGAGGCTGAATCACCGTTAACCTCCAGTAAAGAAATAGCGGTTTGTTAACTGACAACCGCTCTACTAGTACTCAGTTGCTATTCACACTCGGCGCATGCGCAGGGTTAAACGTTATTTATTGTAATGTCGAAAAATTATGACATTTCAGGCAAGTCCCCCCATCACCAGCACAACTAACAAAGGCGAACCTGGCCTTTTATAGCGCAAGCAAGCGAGACCGTAGGGCCCTCCTTATGTTATTTCTATAACTTAGAACCTTCCAAGTTGGAAGCCTGTTGGAGTGCGCATCCAAGAGGTGCTATAGCTGTTAGCCAGTAAGCTGTAGAACTTCAGTACCGTCGGTCAATGTCGTGCATTGTTATCGCATGAGCTGATTGTTAAGCAACTGCTGGTGTTAGTGGACATGTGGTTCCTTGGTCCTTTCTCTTTTGCACACATTTTGCAGGCAGTTTTAAAATGGTTCTAGTCCGATTTTGTATTTGAGATCTACCTTTTGATCAAACCTATTTTGCCCCTTTCAGCGTTTTGGAATGAAACTCTTCATTTCATAATCCCTACTGGTATTCTGAACTTTAATACAAAGAACACAAACCCGGCTCGAGACAAAAAATAATAACATGAAAGATGAAAAGTCGCAGGGATATTTGAGCTATGTGGATTCATTGCTGTAGATGTTGTCAACCAATTTTATTCCTCCTCCCAACCCGTGCCAGAACCACACTAAGAAATACGACCGAAATACAACTGGACATGATGAACTCAAGACCAAGGCTGCTTTTGTGTGACGCACACAAAGTAATGTATGTCAGGCATGCCACACTTGGAGGGAGAAAAATCTGAGGGGGTCCGGGTGTCCCCCGGTGAAATATTTTTCAGGAAAATGGCTTGCTGTTGGGGCCCCAGAACACATTTTTAACTGTCCACACACATGCAAGCACATGTGCATTTTACACCTACACATACATGTCACCTTCTCATAAATTTATCTCTTCTTGGCGATGGTACCTTCGTGAGAATAAAGAATTCAAAATGTACAATGACTGGCCAAACGCGACCTGGAAGCGTCGAATGTCCAACTGCACTAAAAACGCTCAAAATAAAATAATCGGTTGTCCCTCTTTGGGAACAAAATCGGTCTGTTTGTCCGACAGGCAATCAAAAATCGGACGATTTCCGAATAATCAGAGCAAGTGGCAGCCCTGCTATGTACAGAAATGATGTACTGTCAACTTCGCTTATAACGACACCCGGTGGGGCGTCAGAAAAGTGTTCTTATTCGCGAAGTGTCCTTATACCCGAAGTCTCATTTTATAATTATGTTACAGTTGGATGGGACTTTGCTCTGGGCATGGAAATTCTGTCGTTATTCGCGAATTGTCGTTATATCCGCAGTCGTTATTAGCCAAGTTGACTGTACATTCAAATGGGACTCTGATGGTGAGGCAGTAATTGTAAATAGAGAGGTTTTGCAGAGCGAACGTTCGCGCGAATTTTCGTTTGACGTCACGAAAAGCGAAACTTCGTGCGAACGTTCGCAGTTTTGAACGCGAAAGTTGCAGGAAACGCGAAACAAACTTTCGCAGTAATTTTCGCTCTTTGTTGACCGCTGGTCAGCCTGGTGGAGTGGTGCACGGTGAGCAACCCTCAATCATCATGTTTGTGCTGGATCTCTACTCTTGGCTTGGTCCGCGAGTGCTAGCTTTCCGATATTTTTGGCAGCCCATGTTGTTTCATCTCCAGAACCATCTCCGATCTCCTGCTTGCTCGTCTTCTCACTGCTCAGAATCGGTTACATCAATGATGCCTTTTTGAATCTCAGGTGTTGATGCGCAAGATTACGGCACAAGCCAACCCGGCTCGTTTGTCTGTGGGTCTCCGGCCATGGACAACGTAGTCAAAGAGCTCTCGTCTCAGGCCGTGACTCAGGGTACCTGGTGCGCGTGCCGCCACTCGCAACAAACAAATAATCGGATGGAGAACACTTCTCAACAACAAGCGAGTGCACACGAAATTTTCTAGGAGCGAGAAACATGCAAACGTTCGCAGTAATTTTCGCTCTTTGTGGACTGTTCGTGCGCGGTGAGCCACCCTCAATCGGATCCTCATGTTTGTGCTTGATCTCTACTCTTGGCTTGGTCCGCGGGTGCTAGCTTTCCTATACTTGTGGCAGCCCGTGTTGCTTCATCTCCGGAACCATCCCCGATCTCCTTCCTGCTCGTCTTCTCACTGCTCAGAGTCAGTTACATCAACGATGCCTTTTTGAATTTCAGGTGTTGATGTGCCAGATTACGGCACAAGCCAACCCGTTTGTCTGTGAGTCTCCGGCCATGGACAAGGTAGTCAAAGAGCTCTCGTCTCAGGCCATGACTCAGGGTGCCGTCACTCGCAACAACAAAATAATCGGATGAAGACCACTTCTCAAACAAGCGAGTGCACGCGAAAATTCCTGGGAGCGAAAAACATGCAAAACACAAATTTCGCGTGAACGTTCGCAATAGTTTTCGCAATCCGGAACGCGAAAATCATTGCGAACGTTCGCTCTGCAAAACCTCTCTAATATGGTAAAACAAGGAGAAAGGCAAAATGCTACGAGTATACGGGTTACATTGACTAACTGTCCACCAACGTAACCAGCCATTATACAGTCAGTGAGCGCAACAGAATGGTGCTCCTTAGCCGTCAGTACTCCTTATCAGGTTTGTGCCATTTTGTCGCACTCGCTGACTGTATAAGGTCTGGGTGGGTTGGTGAACAGTTAGTCATGACTTGTAACATTTTGACCGTCTCCCTTTTTACCATATTCAAATGGGACTACGGGTATAAGGGTACTTCGCGGATAAGGACACTTTTCTGCTGCCCCGCCGAGGGTCGCTATTCGCAAAGTTGTCTGTACACAAAAGGTACTCTTTGGAGAGTGCCAACATATTATGATTGTGTGTTGGTCACCCGAATGAACAAATCTGTTTTATTGTTTGTTTTCCTGATGGTTGTTCTTTTTGTTTGCCTGCCTGCCTGATTGCTAGGGGAATACTTCTGCGAATTGCCTGTTGGTGAAACGGGAGTAACAATGGTTCACTATCCTGGCAGGACATTTGATACTGAAAGAGAGAACTTCTGCGGCAATCAAAATGCCCGCATGGCAATTAACGGCAGTGTTCGTGAAAATAGATGTATTGAGGAGTTTAGAGATTTGATTCACAAAACCACGGGTCACTGGGAAGAAAACCTACAGAACCAGGTGTGCGTTTTCAGTCCTCGTAAGTTGATATTTTGAAACTCTACATTTTTCGGACTTCGCTACGAACAGGTCATCGCTCATGTGTTGCCAAAGGCTAAAGTAATTTCCCTTGAAAATAACAATGTAGAGGTGAAATACTGAAATTGGCGACTCAGCCGTAACAAAGCTATAAATAAAATGATATCCGCGCTCTTGTCACTAAACAAAGTATGACATGCAATAGCTTAGTTCCAGAACGCTCTCTTGTCACATTCTACAATGGAATCTCATGACTGACAGAGAATAGATAAGCCAGAAAGTGAAAATAGTTTGAAGGTGAGCAGGGTGCAAAACTGAGCAATTTCAAGTATGCGACAAATATTCAGAAGCGCTCATCAGGGAAGAGCAATGGATGCTACTGGCAATTCAGCACCTACCGTATTATCCCCAATAAATGTACAGTGATTTTATTTGTTCAAAGGTGGTCAGACCTGTACTACTGTAGGAGACTGTACTAGTATTGGAGATGTGTATTTGTAGTGTTTCTGGTTTACTGCAACTCGTGATAATGATATTGTCAGGCTGTAAATACATGTACATCCAACCATGGGAAGAATCAATGTACAAAGACACAGTGTTGATGAACGGTGTTCAGGGCAATACGGACAGCCCAAGTCACGACCACACATCGAAAACTACTGCTCGCTTGAAGACTGTATAAAGTGTATTCACAAACAACAACAAATCTGAAAACTGAAAAACTCTGAAAAAGAAACCACGAGGTCTGCTCAGCGCTTCGCGCACCAAGACCATCTACGAAAATGGAGGCATCGCAGTACGCCTTCAAGGAAACAGCAACTATTGCAGTGAAGCGGTGAAAACTGCAAGAAAGCGAAAGCCATAGATCTCGGACACAACAGAAAAAAGCCTGTACCAAAGAAAGCGCATCGCTAGCCGCGCAGCATTGTACGCACACAGCGCACAGTTCACTGTACATTTGGCAAAAAACATAAAAGAAAATCAAGACAGTTCAGAACGCAAAAAACACATGTTCACGTACGTCATGTTCAAGGAAATTCAAACGAAGAGAAAAAGAGAGTACAGAAGCTTAGAGAAGCACAAGAACGAAGAAATGGAGAAGAGAAACGTTCTTGAGATGAAGAGAAGAGAGAAGAGCAGAGAGACAGACTGGAAAGCAGGTCTACAGAAGACGTGAGCGAATAGACAGAACGAAAATAGCAAAGACAAATTCCACAACAAATTCAAACAATGTCGATCTTGTTCACAAGTTCAACCATCAGGCAGGAACATTCTCGCCCGGTAACAGGCATACTCACAAGCCTGATTACTAAGCTGCACTGCTGAGGACATTCAGGCGACACAACTTGACTACTGGTCGGCGCACAGTTCACTGTACATTTGGCAAAAAACATAAAAGAAAATCAAGACAGTTCAGAACGCAAAAAACACATGTTCACGTACGTCATGTTCAAGGAAATTCAAACGAAGAGAAAAAGAGAGTACAGAAGCTTAGAGAAGCACAAGAACGAAGAAATGGAGAAGAGAAACGTTCTTGAGATGAAGAGTAGAGAGAAGAGCAGAGAGACAGACTGGAAAGCAGTTCTACAGAAGACGTGAGCGAATAGACAGAACGAAAATAGCAAAGACAAATTCCACAACAAATTCAAACAATGTCGATCTTGTTCACAAGTTCAACCATCAGGCAGGAACATTCTCGCCCGGTAACAGGCATACTCACAAGCCTGATTACTAAGCTGCACTGCTGAGGACATTCAGGCGACACAACTTGACTACTGGTCGGCGGAAAGGGCCGGTTGCCGTCTTCACGTCTGCAACTCAGACTTTCCCATCACGCCCGGGAAACACGGCAGTGACGAGACCTCTGGGCCAGGAGCCCCTCGGCAGCTGATCGTCCACGATGATTACTACATCACCCACACTGATTTCTTGGCCAACGCCACGCCACTTCTGGCGTGTGCCGAGGCTGGGGGCATACTCTTTCAGCCAACATTGCCAGAACATGTCAGCTAGGATCTGCGATAGACGCCACTGCTTGTGACAGCACAGGTCGCGCTCCGTAAACTCTCCGGGTGGCTGTACGCTACTGGATGTGCCGAGCAGAAAGTGGTTAGGTGTGAGGCTCTCCGGATTGTTGGGGCCTTCTGACACGTGTGTCAGTGGTCGGCTGTTGACGAGACTCTCTGCCTCAATCATGAGGGTCAACAGTACCTCGTCCTTCGGAGCACGCTCATGCAATATCACCCGCAAGGTGGACTTCACGGATCTGACCAGGCGCTCCCAGGCTCCACCCATGTGCGGAGCAGATGGCGGGTTGAAGCTCCACTCGATGCGCAGTGACGCCAGGTTGGTGGTGAGCTGGTCTTGGTCGAGGTCGTTCAGGGACTCACGCAGCTCTCGTTCTGCTCCTCGGAGGTTCGTACTATTGTCAGACCAAATTTGACGAGGTCGACCACGCCTGCCGATCATCCTACGGATGGCCATGATGCAGGCATCCGTGGTCAGTGCATGTGCAACCTCCAGGTGCACAGCTCTCGTGCTCAGGCAGGTGAACAGCACACCATACTCTTCTCGTGCCGACGTCCGACCGCCACTGTCATCAGTCCGAAGTAATCCATGCCAACCACAGTAAATGCTCGAACAAAATGGTGTGAGACGAGTGCTCGGCAGGGGTGCCATCTCTGGCGCAGCTGGCTGTGCTCTGTCGTTGCTGCACTTCTGGCAAGTGTTCCAAGAACTTCGGACGGCTCATCTCAGCCCCAAGATGAGATAGCGCTGCCGCAACTCATTGCACACACGCTCTTGCCCTTGATGACATGACGCAACATGATACCACACAATCAGCAGCCGGGTGAAAGGGTGACTCGGATCGAGCACAACTGGCTGCTTGACCATGTCAGACAGATTGGAGGAGTTGACCAGTCGGCTGTGGTGACGCACTACTCCGTCAATGAGCGCAAGCGACAGATGTGACAAGCGGCTGTCCTTGTCCACGGGCTTGCCAGACTCGGTACTGCGAACAGTCGGCTTGCACTTGCTGCCACCATAGACGCTCTGCACTCTCAAGCTCCTCAGGTATTAGCTCTCCTGGGGGTGGTGCTAATGTACGTAGCACTCGGTGCTTCAAGATCTTGACGAAGCGGAGTACCCAAGCGGTTGCATGGACCAGTCTCATCCACGATGAGAAGCGGCTAGGGTCTTGTAGCGCTGCATTCCGCACACACTCACTAGACACAGCTGTGGCTACGAACTCACCTTTCAGCTCGATGGTGGGACTTGAGTCGGCTACTGCAGGCTTGACATCAAGCGGCCACTGCTCTGGCAGACTCTGCAGATACTCTGGGCCGGTCGCCCCATCTGCTACCAAGTGTCAACTCGTCGCTGGCCAGACCACGCGTAGCGTCATCAGCAGGGTTATCTTTGGTGGGGACCCAGCGCCACTGTCTCAGCGATCTCACCAATCCGGTGAGCACGGTGAGCAACAAACGTCTTGTAAAGTCTGGCTTCTGACTTGATCCACAGCAGGACAGTACGCGAGTCGCTCCAGAACGTTGTGGAGCTGATAGGTAGATCAAGCTGCTTGGTGATTGTGTCTGCCAGGCGCGTTCCCAGCACAGCAGCTTGCAGCTCAAGACTAGGAATACTGAGCGGCTTGAGCGGGGCGACGCGAGCCTTTGCTGCAACAAACGAAACGTGTGCAGCACTGCTCTTGCTGGTGGCTGTGATGTACGCTACAGCTGCGAATGCTTTTTCGCTAGCGTCGACAAACATGTGCAGCTCTAAGCTCTTGGCGTCTGCTAGCGCAGGATGGTAGCACCGTGGCACCTGCAGCGACGCAACTTCACGCAGGCCGGCTTGCCACTTTGACCAGCGCTCAGCCATATCCGTCCCAGCCAAGGCCTGACCTCCGTACGTCCTGCAGTAGTATCCTGGCGGTAACGGTGTACACCATCAGGAAGCCAAGGGGATCGAACACCGACATCACGTGGCGCAGTACTGTCCGCTTGGTTGCTGAGACGCTGTCGGGCTGTGCTGACAGCTTTGCTCCAATGGCAAAACTGAGGTACTCGCTGTTCGGGTTCTAAATGAGGCCAAGTGCCTTCTCTGTGGAAGCGTTCCCGGTGGCGAGATTCACCACTTCAGATGAACGAAGTTGGGTGGGTATTCTCTCCAGAACCTGGGATGAGTTGCTAACCCAGTTCCGGATCTCGAATCCTCCCCTCCGGTGAATCTTAATCACCGCTGCCGAACGGCTGGTGGCATCACACTCTGTAGCTGCACTGTCGAAATAGTCATCCACATAGTGGCGGTCAGTGATGGCTGTGACAGCTTCAGGCAGATCCGGACCAAAGACGGTGGCAGTATGGTTCTTCACATGCTGAGCTGTGGTCGGAGATGACACTGCACCAAACGTCATCACCTGCATCTCGTACACATCTGGAGGGCGACTGCGGTCGAGGCCTCGCCACAGGAAACATTGGGCCGGTCGGTCCTCTGGCCGCACACTGACTTGGTGGAACATTTCCCGAATGTCACCACCGAAACCATACTGAAAACGCCGAAAGTTCAGCAGCACTTGCGTCAACGGCGTCAGCAGGTCGGGTCCGGGCATCAAAAAGTCATTGAGGCACTTGCCATGCGATTTCCCGGCTGCATCGAACACAAGTCTCAGCTTGCCCTTCGTCGGGTTCACCACGGCAAAGTGCGGCAGGTACCAAGTGTTAGGTGGTTCACATGCGGCCTCTGCTGCTGATAGGATGCGTGCATATCCCTTCACGAGGTAGCTCTCGATCTTCGCTGCATACTGGCAAGCGAGGTTCTGGTCCTTCATCAGACGGCGTTCCAGCTGCTGAAGACGTCTGTCGGCCTGCTGTCGGCTCTCTGGCAATTGCGGGTTGTCGTCACGCCACAACAGTCCTGTTTGCCATCTGGTGCCATCGTGAGTCATGGTACTCAGCAACTGTAGCGCCCGGTCATCGTCCTTGCTTCTGGGTAGCGGCG